ATACATATATATATATACATACATACATACATACATACATATATATAATGCACGTGCAGTGGACGCGAAGCAAGTAAACGGTGATGGTTGCACATGTAATGTACACGTATCAAGTACGCAGTGAATGCAGTGTGTGCGTGTTCGCTGATACGTTTCACCCCTCAGTGTGTGTATGTGTGTGTGTGTGTGTGTGTGTGTGTCTTTGTGTAGGACTGTGGATGTGTGGGTGACATTGGGATGATGAACATTTTTAGGCGGTGAGTGAGTTTGGATGTTTTGTTTTTGTTGTTTTTTGTTGTTTTTTAAAAATACGTATACATTAACCACACATGTCTGTCTTGTATATATACCTATAGGATCTCAGAGGAAAAAAAGTAAATAAGTAAATAACAAAAAATTAAATAAGGGGATTTTATTATTTATTAAGTCATTTATTAATTAATTTATTTTCTATTTATTAATCAAATCCTTTGCCCAGCACCGCCCCTGCAACAGTGCCACTCCCATGCTTGGCAAGACCCCGGGCCAGCACCACTAACACAACAACAGTTTTCAGGGCAAGACCAGAGAGCAAATAAATTAAAACATTTAACAAATGAATATAATAGTAACAAAAGGGGTAGGTTTCTATGTATTTGTTGGGCGTATGTTTGCAATGTCTGTGTGTGGTGTTTCTGAATGATGGTTCACATGTGTATTGTGGGTGGTGCACAGGCAGTAAAGCTGGTAAGTGGGAAGGTGGCATTGGGGTGGGAGTATTATGGATTGAGGATATTGATGAATGGGTTCCAGGTTATGTCAAAATCAGAAGCTTGTTTTTTGATAGAAGCAGATCATTTTTCCATTGATATGTATTCGATTAGTAGATTTTACCAGAGTGTGATGGAGATTTTGTTCCTTGTTTTCCAGTTCATGAGGGTAGTTTTCTTGGTGATGGTTAGGGCAATGGAGAGTATTCTGCTGGATGTATTGTTGAGGTTTATAGTGGATATGTTGCCAAGTAAGCAGAGAGAGGGGGAGAGTGGGATGTGGCAGCCCAGAAAAAAAGAGGGGTTGTCAGTGATGTCCTGCCAGAATTGTTTGATAGGTGTGCAGTTCCATGTGGCATGCATGGTCTGTGGTGTTTTGTGAGCAGTGTGGGCAGATATCTGTGTCTACAAAACCCATTTTAAACATTCTTTCTCCTGTGTAGTGTACTCTATGAATAATTTTGAATTGAATGAGTTGTGTGTTTGTATTAGTGGACATGGAAAATGTGTTTTTGCATATTTGGGTTCAGAAGTTGGTACCGGGGGTGATCTGCAGGTCATGTTCCCATTTTTCTGAGGGGATGGTTATTGAATGATTGGGTGTGGATATTATGTTATAAATTTTGAACAGTAGTTTTTTTCTGGTAGAGATGTTGATCAGGTCCGATGTTAGTTGGGGGAGATCTAAGTTGGATGAGGTAATGTTGATTTTTTTCTTTAACTGAGGATTTAATCTGGAGAAATTCTAGAAAGTGATTCTCCCTGATGCCGTACTTCTGAACCAAATGAGGAAATGAGACCAAAGTGTTGTTATTGAAAATACTTAAAACTCTTACTGCTGCAAGTGATTCGATAAATATTGCGAACAAAAATGGAGAGAGTGGGCATCCTTGCTGAGTGCCCCTGTGCAAAGTGAAACGTTGTGATATTATTCCGTTAGTGGTGATAGAGGCCATTGGTGATGTATACTAGGGCATTAACGACTTTGATTTTTTTCAGGTCGACTTATCTGTCAATAAAGTCGAAGTCGAGTCGACAAGTCATTTGATGACGTCATCACATTGACATGGCGGAGGAAAGTGAAGTATCTCCACACATGTGATGTGTGTCTGTCAAGGCCCGAACATAATCGGGCTGAACATACGCGGAACGGACTCTGCAGAGGTCCGCGCGTACTCAAAGCGGACGTCCGCAAGCCCTGTGCGCGCAAAGCTCAGATTTTACGACCGCGCGGACTTCGCTCTGCACACCAGTGACTGCTCGGCATGTATTTTTCACATCGCGGAGATTTTTCACGGACATTTTTACAGGAAACTACAACGCGGAAATGCGCTCGACTATGAAAGCCCGAATGACTGCGGACATTCCTCGCGGAGTCTGCTCCGCTTAAGTATCAGTGTAAGCCAATCAGAGGCAGCGATTGCATTCCATACACAAGCACACACACATAGAGAGAGAGAGAGAGAGAGAGAGAGGGAAAAAACACACGACTTGTCGATTCCTCCTGTGGGGTGTCGACTTGTGCCACTGACGTCGACAAATCGGCTTTTCTGTTAATGCCCTAATGTATACTGTACAATATCCTTACCCAGTGGATAAATGATTCAACCAAACCAAATTGTTGTAGTGTAGAAAATAAAAATTCCCAGTTTACCTTTTCAAATGCCTTTTCTGCGTCAAGTGATAATATGGCTGTTAATGGGTTTGTGTGTGATGAGTAATGGATAAGGTTAATAAGTCTGTGTAGGTTATTTGATGAGTGTCTTCCTTTCATAAACCCAGTTTGGTCTGAGTGGATGATAGATGGAGTGACTGTTTCAATTCGTAATGCTAGGGCTTTGCTGATGATTTTGATATCAGTGTTGAGGAGAGACAGGGGGTGATAGCTTGAGGGGGAGGTGGGGTCTTTGTCTGGTTTTAGTAAGAAAGTGATTGTAGCACTATTCATGTCTGTGGTAAGTTTGGATTGTTGTTTAATTTTGGTTGTTAATCTATTAAATATATGGGCTAAAATATTCCAAAAGTGTTTATAGAACTCAGCAGGGAAGCTTTCAGGTCCTGGTGATTTATTGTTGGGCATGAGTTTGAGTGCTTGGTGGAGTTCTGTAATTGTAAATGGTTGATCCAGAGTATTAGCTTGGTCTTCTGTGAGCTGAGGCAGATGAATATTGCATAGGAAGGTGTCTATGTCTTTTTGGTTTGGTTTGTGTGTTGATGAGTATAAACTGGTGTAAATACTTCTTATTTATTTCCTCAGGTGTATGTACAAGCTTCCCTGCTGAGTTCATAATCGTTGTAATTGTTGTTTTTTCTTTGTTTCGTTTGATTTGGTTGGCCAGGTATTTTCCAGATTTATTACTGTATGCAAAGTTTTCATGTCTGAGTCTTTCTTGGAGGGATTTTTGGTTTTTTGTTCAAGTGTTTATTCAGTTGTAGTCTGTATTTCCGTAGATTTTGTATTTATACTGTGGAATTTATTGCGTTGATGTTCTAGTTCATTAGTCTTTTGTTCTAAGTATGTTTCCTGTTGGCTGTCTCTTTTTCTTGTGTGTGGCGTATGATATGATTTTACCTCTTAACACTGCTTTCCCTGTTTCCCAAAGTAGTGATGGTGCTATTTCAAGTCAGTCATTTATTTTTAGGAAGGATGCCCACTCTCTTTTGTTAAAATTGTAAAATTCAGGGTCCTCAAGTAAGTTGCCTGCCTTGACATTGTACCTGAAGTTTTTGTTTGAAGTGTTCGAATTTTGCCACAATGGGAAGGGGGTGTTTGTTTGCGGGGTTTTTGTTCAGTGTTCCATTTATGCCTTTTGGTTGGACATTTCACCTAAAATAACCTTCTTGTTCTTACCTTATCAAGGTCATAAAAAAGCATTCAACTTCACTGGAGTAAAACAAATGCAAAATTTTGATTTCCATATGTTCTGGTCTGTCCCCTTGCATCAATTTCCATATTCTCATTATTTCCATAACTGTTAATTTGCCCACAAGCCAAACTATCTGCATTTGATGCAAAAAGCTAAAAGGCTGGGGCTCACTCAGGCTGAGTAATTAGTTCACCTGAGAGAGTGTTCATGATCCACGATGGCTCTCAATATACCAGGGATGATAATGATGGTAGCTTTCTATGTGCTGGTATTGGGAACCGGCATCTGGGCGTCCATGAAATCTAAAATCATGGAGAAAAGCACACTCAGTAGTCATGTAGAAGTTTCCTTTTTGGCTAACCGCAGGGTCAGCTTGCTACTGGGAGTATTTACAATGACAGGTGAGTTGAGGTAAACTACACTGATTGTACTATGTACTACTTTCTTCACAACAATCCATGATACTTTGATATTTTAGGTCTGTTTCCTTTGAAGAGCATTTACAACATTAGTTATTGCTTCTTTGTGTATGTTTATCTCCTGCCACAGCTACTTGGGTTGGAGGTGCCTTTATCATCGGTGTTGCAGAGTCTGTGTATGATCCTACCAAAGGTCTAATCTGGGCTCTTGTTCCTCTGCAGGTCTCTCTTTCCTTTATTATTGGTAAGACTCTCAGTATTTTTTTACAAGAAAAATTTAATATCCAAACTTTTTCCTCAAGTTGTCTTTTTTTATTTTTATTAAAAGGTGGATTGTTCTTTGCAAAGCCAATGAGGGAGAACAATTACATAAGTATGATGGATCCCTTTCAGAGGAAGTATGGAAAACCACTGACTGCGGTTCTCGCCATTGTTCCAGTCATAGCTGAAATCATCTGGGTTCCTGGATTACTGATTTCTTTGGGTAAAATTATGCAAAAACACTGAAATACACAATTTCAGTGGTGTTCTCAGTGTTCTTTTCAAGGATATATATAAATTTGTAACATATTTAGTAACAAGCCAAAGGATCAATACCAAATAAATAAAAGAAAACAGTGAAATAGAGTAAGAATTCTTACATTTTGCGACAAACCTTGACATTAGTGGCAGAAACTGAAAAATAAGATATGTATGACAAGGACACAAAACAATATGTGTGAATGGACAACAAACTCATAATGTGTATAAAATTGAATTTTTTATGAAGTGTATCACTCATGATAACTTATTGACAACAGGGGATAAAGATAAACCTAAACATTATATTATAACAAGTCTGTTTCCATTTTTATTTATTTGGCATTGAACCTCTTTTTTTCTTTTTACTAAATATGTTATTTATTTAATTCTTAATGAATGTTTAATTTTTTATTTATTTTTTATTTTAATTTTATTTTATTTCATTATTTATTTTGTGCACATGCAATTCAGTGATAACCCTGTAGTTGTGATGTTGACTGGTCTTGAAATAAAGAGTCCTCTTTGTCTGAGACCAAGACAAGACTAAGTAAAAATGCAGCTGAGTCCAAGATGAGACCGAAACCCTAAAAAAGTGGTCTCAATACCAAGACTGATTTTAAGTACTACAACATCGATTTCACTGCCTGAGTTATACATCCAGTGTATCCTTCATATTTGTTCATGCGTTTGTTACAGCGGCGACCATGACTGTCATCTTGGATCTGCCCTTTAGTGTTTGCGTCTGGATCTCTGCTGCAGTGGCGATCATCTACACCGTTCTTGGAGGTCTCTACTCAGTTGCATACACTGATGCCATCCAGCTGTTACTTGTGCTTTTTAGCTTGGTGAGTTTTACACAATGAAAACAGATTTCTCATGCAATGAATGGGCTGTTTGGAAATTTTCTAAAATAAGAACAAGCTCATCTTCTCACAGTGGCTGTGTGTCCCCTTCGCTATGACAAGTGACGTTTATACTGACATCACTAAAACAGCATTGAACCACACATATCAGGCCGCCTGGCTTGGCCACCTTGAGGCTCATGACGTCGGTAGATGGATTGATGATTTCCTATTGATGGTAAGATGAATAACAGTATATTGGATTGTGCTTCTGAACCATATTAGTTTGTGGTGAAAAAAGTGCATCATCCTCTTATTTTAAAGAACCTTTTTTTGATTTGTTTATAATCTTCGTTTGTCCAGACTGTGGGCAATATGGCCATTCAGGATTTCCATCAAAGGATTCTCTCCTCCAGCTCCACGTCCACAGCCAGAATCATCTGTTTCATAGCAGCAGGTGGAGTCATCATTGCAGGACTTCCATCAGTGTTGATCGCTGCTGTTGCAGCTTCAACTGGTAAATTTATGAGTTTATGGTATCTTTAACTTTCCATATTGGTAAATGCAGCCATAACTCTTGTTTGTTTCTGTTTCAAGACTGGAACTCCACCACATATGGTTCTCCCTCTCCATATGAGCGAGGGGAGGCAGCCATGGTATTGCCCATCATCCTTCAGCATTTGACCCCAAGCTACATTTCTGCTTTTGGCATTGGAGCTGTTGCTGCTGCAGTGATGTCATCCACTGACTCTTTTCTCTTATCTGCAACCACCATCTTCACCACCAGCATCTACCAGACCATCAGGAGTCAGGTAGCAGGAACAGGAGGGTGGAAGTAGCAATTTTTAACGTAACACTTGAGTTGTAAATATCTGCTTATGTATTATTTTTCTCTGCAGGCATCAGATAAAGAGCTGCAGTGGGTGATTTGTCTCTCCATAGTGGTTGCAGGACTTGTTGGAACATCCCTCACCTACCTGGACGGCGGCATCTTAGTGTTCTGGATCCTAGGCTCAGACTTGACCTACACGATTATATTCCCCCAACTGATCTGCGTCCTCTTCACGGAGGTATCCAACGGTTACGGGGCGATCGCAGGCTACCTTGTTGCAGTGGTAATGAGACTGTTGTGTGGAGAGCCATTGTTAGGCCTTCCGGTGTTCCTGCAGTTCCCGGGTTGCACTTTAGAGGATGGTGTTTACATTCAGCGCTCTCCTGTCAAGACCATTTGCATGCTGTGTGCGCTGGTCTCCATTCTCATGTTTTCATATGTGGCCTCACTCCTGTTTAACAAGGGGATCCTTCCTGGGAGGTGGGATGTGTTCAAGGTGAAGTCCCAGGGAGCACCAGCAGGTGGTGCCAAAGAGGTTGACTTTGAAAATGAAGAGGACACAGTGGCCTCTGCACCGATGCTCGATACAGGATGCTAGATTTTGCAGGCCTTTTTAAAAAAAAAAGTTTTTGTGTGTTTCTGATAAGATTGCTAGTTTAGGGTGATGGCAAAGGATTTATTGCAATGACTGTTTTACTGATTGAAAAATTTATGTAAATCTCATAATTAAAAAGCTCCCCTCTTCCAAACTTCCTCAAATCTGTCATTTAAATCTAACAATTACAAAATGATGCTCTTAACATTGGAAACTGAAGACTGGCTGCAGGTATTATGCACATTTTCACTTTCGAAAAAACTCCCATTGTAAGTGTCTTATTTCATATGGAGAATTTAATGTTCTATCTTATGACTCCTAAATGTCTCCATTAATTTTTGACAATGCTTTGATAATGGTTGCATAACTGTCACTGTATGCTGGTTGTTTTCTTTGTTCTCAAGTCTCTCTCAAAAGACAGAGTACCAGGGCCACATTAAGCACAGAAAAATCTGAGATTTCAAGAATGAATTCACAATGTTAAAAAAAATAAGGTCATACTAATATTATGTAAATTAAGTTGTAATTAAGAGAATCGAGTTAAACTCTTTCAAGAGAAAAAGTTTCAGGAAAGGTTTCTCAGCCCATATCTAAATATGCTTAATGACTCCCCCCCTACACTGGAAGGGGCAACAATCAATGTTTTCCACAAACCATCCAAAGATGAAAACTTATGTGGATCATATAGACCGCTATCATTGCTTAATGTTGATTTCAAATTGTACTCTAAAATGTTGTCACTCAGATTGGAATCAGTCATAAACTCACTGATCCATAAGGACCAGACAGGTTTTATCCAACATAGACAAGGAGCAGATAACATCCGCAAATTATTTCATATAATAGAGAGATCCAAAAGTGTAACGGATCCCAGATTTGTAATGGTGATGGATGCAGAAAAAGCATATGACACATATTGAATGGGACTTTTTATTTAGGACTATGCAGCACATGAATTTAGGTGAAACATTTGTAAATTATATAAAATTAATATACAGAAACCCCAAAGCGCAATTTCTTACAAACGGAATTGTATCAAAACCCTTCTCCCTAGGAAGAGGCACCAGGCAAGGGTGTCCCTTATCACCATTATTATTTGCCCTTGCAATAGAGCCTCTGGCAGCAGAACTAACACAAAAATTAATGTAATAAAACTTGGTACAGAAGAGGTGAAAACTTCACTATACACGCATGATTTATTGCTGTATATTACAAAACCAGACCAGTTGTTACCAGAATTATTTACAGTATTACAGGAATACAGCAAATTAGTGGGTTACAAACTTAACTATGAAAAAACAGAAGTAATGCCTCTAAATGACCACACACAGGTTAACGCTCGCCAACTGCTGTCTCAATTCAAATGGCAACCAAAAGTACTAAAATATTTAGGGATATTTATTACAAACGATTTGAGCGAAGTCTACCAAGCAAACTATCTGCCATTACTGGAGAAGGTTAAACATGATTTGCAGAAATGGATAGCTTTATCCATATCATTAATCGGAAGGGTTAACATCATTAAAATGAATGTGTTGCCAAAATTCATGTATTTGTTCCAATCAATCCCAATAAAATGTCCTTTCAAAATGTTCACAGAAATAAATAAAATTATGTCTAAGTTCTTATGGGCTGAATAAAACATCAGAGTGAAGACCACAACATTACAAGCCCCATTACATGAAGGAGGTTTAAACTTACCTAATTTTAAAATATATTATATGGCATCACAATTATGGGCCGTATGGTTTTGGCTTAAGAGAGATACTATAAATCCAACTTGGTTAACCATAGAACAGCAGATGGTTGACCCTATCCCTTTGGGTACAATCCCGTTCATAGGCTCATTAAATAACCTGCACAAGCTTACTAAAAACCAGATTGTGTGCCATTTGAATGTTGGCAGGAAAGCCACAAATTATTGGGACTACGGAATATTTTATTGAAACATACTCCATTATGGAATAATCCATTAGTCCCAGACAATATTATAGATGGTATCACTCTTAGGTGGAAAGAAAAGGGAGTCAAAGAGCTAGGTGATCTCTGTGATAATGATATATTTGCCGATTTTTTTGAAAGATCGATATCAACTTCCAGGGACACACTTTTTTAAATTTCTGCAAATAAGGAGTTGGGTCAAATCAAACATCATAATGGACTTTCCCAGTATTTCAGGTACTCCAATAGAAGAAACTATGTTGAAAGCAAAGATACAAAAGGGATTAATATCAAGATTGTATAATACTATAAAGAATGTAATGAACCATAATTCAGCACGGCATAAATACAAGTGGGAAAAAGATGTGGGACACGAATACATGCTGAAGGAATGGGAAGATCTATTGGAGAAGTCACAAAAAAGTTTGGTTAACACCAAACATAGACTTATGCAGTTTAACATATCTCACGGTGTGTATTATACTCCCCACAGGCTACAGCAGTTTAGCCCTAATACACCATCTGAATGCCCAAGATGTAATGCAGATAATGGTGATATGATGCACATGTTTTGGAGGTGCACACACACTTGGAAGGATTTTGGAATAAAGTTTATAAATATACATCCGAAATATTACAGAAAAGAATTATCCTGGACCCCAGAATATCAATTTTGGGTGATGTAGAAATGTGTAAAGAAGTTAATAATGATGAAAAAAAAATATATTATTAATAATGACAGCAGCAAAAAAAATGCATATTAGTTAATTGGAAATCCAAATACGCACCTCCATTAACACAATGGTGGAGAGAACAACTCTCATACTGCACTCCAGAAAAAATTATGTATAATGTTAAATGTCAATCAATTAAATTTGACAAGATATAGGGCAAATTTGTTAATAATATAAAAAGATAGAAGGGCAGATATTGCTTTAGATTAATTTATGGATATTTCTTGTGTGTATGCAGGTTATGAAAGAATAAATTTTTGTATTTGAATTAAGATTATAATGAAATGATGTTGGACAGAGAGAATGCTGAATATGTACATATGATGGGTGGGGAAGGTAAATGAGTAAAATGAGTAAATGTTTTTTAGCTTGTTTTTTTTTTGTAAATGATGATGATTGTATTGACACATGCAAAAAAGAAAAACCCAATAAAATGCAATTTTTTTTAAAAAAAGTAAAATCAAACAAAAAAGGAGATGACCTGGAAAAAGTGCTTGAAAGTTAAAAGTCTGTAACATCATTTTAAAATGTAATAATAAGTATTATTATATAGTTATTCCCTACCTGTTCTTTTTTCCCTAGTTATTTTCTAAAGCTATTGATTTTTTGCAATTATTATTTCCCCCAAGAAATTGCACCAATTTGCTTCAGTTCAAGGTTAAAATACTTTCGAAAGGTGTCTGAAAGCAGCACATGAAAAATGATGTTGCTCCAGGTTTCAAAGGGTTAAATAAAAAAAAAGAGGACTCTCAAAAATAAGAACTGGTAGGCCTAGTGCTTTACCTTAAAGAAAAAAGAAAAAAAAAGAAACTATGGAACAAAGTGGCAACAAAGGTGGTTATTTTTTTTTAACAAGACATCACAGCTCTTGTTTTTGGGAAGATAGTGGCACAGTATTTCAAGCCAAAACATTATCTTTTCCTATCCATAACCATAGTTTTTTTTTCTAAAAAACTTCTAAAACCACTAAAAAGGACTCTCGTTTTTCAAATTAATGTTTAAACATGTTTATTTTAAATGCACATGCAGAAATGCCAGCTTCATGGTTTCTGTAACGTTTATTTGTTCACTTTTACTGAGTAGGGTACTGAGCCCCTATAGACTTCAATTGTATTTGCTAAGCTAAGCCGCAATGCTAACCGCTGAGACCCAGCCACTGGACATACAGACACAATAAAGATATCGATCATGTTGTCTCACTATGAAAATGATAGAGAAAGAGCATAACTCCCAAATCGTCAGAGTATTCTTTTAACTTTACCTCAAAGTTTCAACCTATAAGCTTCATAATAGTGTGTAAACGTTCAGGTTCCATAAACGTACAATGCCAATATTAATCCTGGACATTGGGTTGAAACACAACAGTCATTAATTATAATAAAGTCATAGTATCATTGTAAATTGTTAATGTTTTTTGCTGTTTTGTATGCATTTTGTTGTTTAGTTGTAGAGTTTAAAGATCCAATTGTAGAGGCGGGCATTGCCTTACCTTTGGTTAGAAATGCTGAGTAGTTCATGCGATGTATTTGTGTGTGCTTATAAAATAAACAAAACATAAAAGATAGTTTGGGATAGCCAGTTATTATCAGTATTATTCTGAATCTTTTGTTATTATAGAAAGTTATATCACAACACAAATATAAAGTGGTTAAATATGAAAGACAATTCAGCTTTTTTAATGATGTCATTTTCTCAGAGCTGATATACATCTGTCACATTTCACCAATAGGGAACTCTATCTCCCAAATGATTAAATGATGAGATACCATGCCATGCTGTGCTATAATGAATTTGGGGATCTCAAAAGACCAGTTTATGATACAGGGCATAAGAGTATACAATGTTGAACATTTTGAATGATTTATGAAAACTGCAATGCCATAGTGTTCATTCATAAGATCAACATTTTTTTTTTTTGTAAATAATCTTGTAAATAGCCTTTACTGTGTAAGGGGCCAGAGGTTTGGCTTTTTCCCCCTGTTTTTCTTGTTCCCTTGTTCTTTGGTTTGTGGGATATGTGGCATGTGGTGCACAGGCTGTTGTCAATTATTTAAGAACACACCTACAGCTGATTAATTCCCCCACACCTGTGTACACCTGTGAAATGGGTGGGGCAGTTTCTATTTAAACTCAGTGTTGGAAATAATGGTGTTGAACACTCTTGACAAAGGTCCAGGATGACCGAAACTAGTGTTACTCATGAGTTGTGAAGCTAAGCAAGAGCAGTGTGCAGGATTTTCTGTTCAAAGATTCAGGTGATATTTTCCAACGCACCTGCATCTGAGATGGTTAAATGTGCGAATACCTTTCTTCAAGCCACACAGGGAATAAAAGTAGGACATAATTTGTAAAATTATATTCATGAAGGACAAAATAAAACAAGGAAACATTTAGATTGCTTTTCATCTTTTTATGCAGTATTTTGCAAAATTGGGTGTATTTCATGATTAAGGCACATTATGTGACTGTGCAATGTTTCTTAAAAACAAGTGAAGAAATCTGACATTTTTATATTTCATTAAAAACATACAATAAAAATAATTTGCAAATCAAACACACTGGCATTACTGATGTGTATCAGAATCATTATGCTTATATTATGTGTGTCATTGTTAATCATGTGTGGAAGCAGAGGTGCTGAAGGGATAGTAATAGAGTAAAAGACACCAGTCTTTGAAGAGTAACTTGTTTCTATAAGTTTTTCAGATTCTTTGGCAACCCGGTCAACATTTGTATGTGGGCCCCATGCTTAAAAAATGGGCCCTATATGGGATTGTCTATGGGTTCCATAATGGCCCAATACTAGTTGCCCACAGGGGTGGGTTTAACATGGGTTATGCTACAGGTAGTGGGTACCAAGTGGGTATGGGCCCAAAATGGGCATCTTATTTTTGGCCCACTTGAGTAAACCCACCCATTTAGGCAATTGTCATGGTTCCATTATGGAACCCTTGGACAATCCCATTTAGGGCCCATTTTTCAGCTCGTTTACTACCCCCATGGGCCCCGCATACAAAGGTTGGATGGGTAGCAATGTGTCCCCACAGAAGCCCTGGAACATCATTGGTACCAACAACCATGTTACAAAAATGAAATCAAACATAAATTCAACAGAAGCTGAATTAGTAAGCTGTTTCAAGCATTGGTTCATCATCCTTTTCACCATCACCTTCTCTGGCACCATCTGTTGGTGCTCCCTGGGATTTCACCTCAAACACGTCCCACCTCTTGGGAAGGATCCCCTTGTTAAACAGGAGTGAGGCCACATATGAAACCATGAGAATGGAAACCAGAGCAGACAGCATGCAAATGGTCTTGATGGGAGAGTGCTGAATGTAAACACCATCCTCTAAAGTGCAACCTGGGAATTGCAGGATCACAGGAAGATTGAACATGGGCTCTCCGCACAAAACTCTCATCACAAAAGCAACAACATAGCCCTCAACAGCCCCATAGCCATTGGACACCCTGACGAAGAGGATACAGATCAGTTGTGGGAGCATTATGGTGTAAGTCAAGTCTGAGCTCAGGATCCAGAATGCTAAGATGCTGCTGTCCAGGTAGGTCAGAGATGTTCCCACAATCCCTACAACTACTATGGAGAAGCGAATCACCCACTGTAGCTCTTTATCTGATGCCTGGAGAAAATGGCAATAAGTGTTTCAGTTAAAATATCAAAGTTTGCATACTTTCCTTCCCATCTTTCTGTCTTGACACGATTGACCATGGACTATAAATGAGCAAACTGAAAAGATATGAGATTAGAGGAGCAGCTCACAAATGGCTGCGTAACTACCTTGAAAATAGACATCAATATGTGCAAATAAACAATAATAAGTGTGACTTGTTGAGGGTTATATGTGGGGTTCCACAAGGGTCAGTGCTAGGTCCAACATTGTTTATATTGTACATAAATGATATTTGTAATGTGTCCAAGTTTTTAAGTTTTGTTATGTTCGCTGTTGATATAAATTTGTTTTCTTGATACCTTGGAAACAAAATTAGATATTTTAAAACAATGATTCAACATTAACAAGTTATCACTTAATTAATTAAAACTAAATATCCTCCTGAGACTCCAACTTTTGTTTAGCATGCATTTTTAATTTCTCTGAGCTATTTGGAATTAGTAAGACTTTATAAGTATAAAAACCTAATAATTGTCTTTGAACAGAAAGTGTTTTTTGTCCTCCTTTTTGTCCTCATATGAGGACAGTGGGTTTATTTTTAATGATCAAAAGTGTGTAATGAAGTATAAAACAGTTTGTTTCAATGACGTTATGTTTTCTGCAATAACAAAACTTAAAAACAATGCTACATCTTGTAACGCTATGGTTGAGGGGTCACTGTGCAAGTCTAAAACTGTTCAAAACAGTTTATTTCAATACCTGAACATGGCCATGCAAAACAAAATTGCAAATATTTCTATTCATATATATTCTTAGAGACATTTCTAAAAGTCTTGTGATTGTCATTTTCTAGATTTGTGTGAATTTTTCTTGCTCTACACCAAGCTTGGAATGTCC